ACACGAAATTTAACAAACAAACAAACAGATATGTAGAGAAATAAGAAATTGGTAATTTATTAGAAATTTTGTGCTACTCAGTCCTGCAGTTCAAAGAAGCAACTCAAAACGCCTGTTGTGCTTGTCATTAGTAGTGAACACATTTACGGTAAACTAGTTAATGCAGTAGACTCTTCAGTCGTAATTTCTAGAAACTGCTGAATGGTTTTGAACGAAAGTTGGTATATATTTGGACTATGACCCAACTAAGAAGTGATTAGTTTTTGGAGGGTCAAAGTAACAGCAAGGTCGCGAAAATCCCAAAAATCCCTGTCTGGGAGTGATTTTTTTACACTATTTTTGTTCTATAACTCACTCAAAAATGATCGGATTTTGATGAATCTTGGTGGATATATGTAGAATATTATTTCTCATTGTCCTGCCAAAAATGGTCCGTGTCCATTGATAACGACGGACACATTTTCTTATTTTTTGAAAGCCGAATATGATCAACGCTGCGTGGCGGAGGTCTGCGCTCTACTGAGTGCCCTTCTAGTTGTTAAAAGCTTCGTAAGTACAAACCGAATTTAAGTGTCAAGCACTTAAGACTTTGCTCAAAAAAAAAGTCTAAAAATATTCAGATACGTATTACATTTAGTTTGATTTATATTTTTAAGTTTCGAAGTTAAAGAGTTATTTGGTTTTGTAAAACACGTGTTTCCACTTGTTTGATATGTTTACATACTAAACATGTATTTTGTTATATTAAATGAGGTGAAGAGGTAGTGAAAGCTTCAATTAAATTTGTCATTTTATAAAACATTTTGTATGATGTTGCTTCTAATTTTTGAAAGGAGATCATATTTACTCTTCTTGAAACTAAAATAAACAGGAAAATATATACGCGTGGATATATGTGTTCAAACGACAACACGTTTGTGGACAATCGTGAGTACTCCCTCAGTTTAGCTTCAGTTTGCTTTTAAATTGCAGGTACACTGTAGAAGGTGCACTACATAGTGGGGAGAGGTCTTTTCCCAAATAAATGCGAACCTTTTTTTCTACACATTGAATTTAAGTGATTTGCATGAAAGCTTAGTGTTTATTACAGATGATCAGAAGATAGTAGACCTTTTTAGAATATTGGGGTGGTCGCTCAACCCGACCCCCGCACCCCCTGGCTACGCCACAGCATGGTAGTTCTAGTTTGTTTGTTTTGAATTTCGCGCAAAGCTACACGAGGGCTATCTGCTCTAACCGTCCCTAATTTAGCAGTTTAAGACTAGAGGGAAGGTAGCTAGTCATCACCACCCACCGTCAACTCTTGGGCTACTCTTTTACCAACGAATAGTGGGATTGACCGCAGATTAACCAACATAAGTTCTCTTGATGATTCCAACTTCATAGAAATGTGAACTTCTTCTCTCAAATGAATACCTTTAGTTTGTTTGATTTTTATATATGAGTGATCCTTTTAACGTCTTCTGCAAACTCTCTTAGTCTTCTTTGTACTACACTCCAAAAACCTGGCTCGCAAAACCTCTTTGGTATGACTCTTTCCGAAACTGATAACAAGAGCAGACAAACTAATGACTAACCATTAGTCCAAGTGTCCTTGATTCGTTGCATAGTATCGTTTCAGCTTATCCTTTCGGATTAGTAAGTAGATATATAGATCATTGTTCATCCACTCATTCCTTTACGCGAGATGTTTTGTTTCGGATATTTTTTACCTGTACTAGCCATCCCTAGTTTTCATCTGATAGACTAGAGGGAAAGCAGCTAGTCAACAATACCTGCCGACAATTCTGTAATCGAACAGAAGGATTTGAACTTCACTCTTATAAGTTACTCACGACCCAAAAGTCGGAACGCGATTTTGCGGCAACGAGACGTTAAAACGTTTTCCCCTCGGATCCATAGTCCAACGTTCTAATCACAAGACCATACGCCGTCCCCGCTTACTTGAGGCTTATTCTGAAGCTGTGTCAATGTCATTTTCCTTTTACACTTTGTTTTTCTTCTTTTTATAAACGGAGAAGATGTAAGTCATCTGAAAACATTCAATATCTCCTGAAGTAACTACAGTCATTGCATGGTGTATCTGGAGGCATTTGTTACCTGAACTAATTACATTCATTTAACATATTTCGTGGCGTGTCTGGAGGCATTCCTGTGGTACGGTAGTCCAGCAAGGTTATATTTATATTACGCATCTCTCTGTTCTGGGACAATCTTGGGACCGAGCATGCCATACTGTGGATTCGAGATTCCTAGTTCGTGTATTTATATTACACATCTCTCTGTTCTGGGACAATCTTGGGACCGAGCATGCCATACTGTGGATTCGAGATTCCTGGTTCGTGTATTTATATTACACATCTCTCTGTTCTCGGACAATCTTGTGACCGAGCATGCCATACTGTAGAATAGAGATTCCTGGCTCGTGTCCCGTTATCGCATAAACAAAATCGCGCTCTGCATTATGGAGCCGTGGGTGCGTTATAAGAGTGACGGACAATCATTTCAAAGGTAGTGACGACTAGCGCAGATAGCTCGGCATCGCCAGGTAGTTAGGGCGCTCGACTCGCAGTCTGGGGGTCGCGGATTCGAATTACCGTCCCACCAAACATGCTCGTCCTTTCAGCCGTGAGGGCGTTATAATGTGACGGTCAATCCCACTATTCGTTTGTAAAATATTAGCCCAAGAGAGGGCGGTAGGTGGTGATGACTAGCTGCCTTCCCTCTAGTCTTACACTGCTAAATTATTGACGGCTAGCGCAGATAGCCCTTGTGTAGCTTTGCGCGAAATTCAAAACAAACAAACAAAACTAGCGCAGATAGCCTGGGAGGAAGAGGTCCCAGCGCACCTGACCCTCCTAGGTCACAAAGACCTAAATTCCGATCAGGAGGAGAGCGAGCAGATAGCCTTCTTGTAATTTTTTGGATAACGTCAATCTTATCATTAACGATGCTTTCTGTAACTTTTAGCATTGTTTTGCGAATTCTTTTTTAAATTTATTGTCACGATTTGATTATTTTCATTTATTTGTTTCTTTCACGTTCTTGGTTTTTTCTTTGAATTAACCTGCCTATAATTTATGCAATATTTTACGACGTTCCTCTGCTTTTCTTTCTGAATCCGCCAATAATTCTAAATAGATTTTCCATTTTTGCACGAATTCTAAGTGCTGTAGGCGTTTGACCACAAGTGGGTCAGCGGTAAGTTAACAGACTTACATCACTTAAGTCTGGTGTTCGATTCCACGCAGTAAACGGAGTTTCAATTAATCCCTTGTGCTAAAAAACATCAACTAACTGTATGCATTTTTAAATGTCGAACTTGTCCTAGACAAACTTGAAATCATAATCAAATAGATATCGATCGAATTGTTTTGGCATTAACATATTACTCAGAAAACTGGTTGAAACAGTACAAACTTAATATTTAGATTTAATAACAGTTATTTAGGCCTACTTTTCTTATTTAGTAACTAAAGTTACGGTTTTCATTATTTCCTATAATTTAATAACATTTGAATGTCAATATAGCTTAACTAATTATTCAAATTCACTGTCACCGACTCTCAATTCCCGAATTTCTAAGACACACCTGATTTTTGAATTACTCTACGATAATCTCCCACGCGTACTTACAGATTTTCAGCTGTTTCCTTTTCAAATTATTTAAAACATTCTTTATTAGATTAAAGTTGTCCTTTCAAAAAGAAATTTAGGCTGGAATAAAGTGTTTGTCAAACAAAAGTATTACAAAAATAAGTTCTACTGGGAAAAACTTGTAACATAATTACAAAAATTAATCATGAAAATATATGTGTTTTCTAATTAACATATATTTACCTTATAGAACAAGAGAATATAATATTTAAACTTGTAACAACGATGTAATTATACTTCTGTGGATTTGGGGATTCCAGGCTCGAGACCCGTTTGCCGCAAAAATGCGCTTCGCATTCAGAGCCATGAATGTTTTATAAGAATGACAGTCAGGTCCCACTGTTTGGTCAGACAAGACTAGCCCAAGAGTTGGAAGTAGACGTTGTTGACTTACGGCATTCCTTCTGATTTATCAGTTGAAAATTAGGGACTGTTATGCGCAGGCCCCCCCAGTGGCACAGCGGTATGTCTGCGGACTTACAACGCTAGAATCTGGGTTTCGATACCCGTGGTGGGCAGAGCACAGATAGCCCATTGTGTAGCTTTGTGCTTAATACAAACAACAAGCTATGCGCAGATAACACTTGTGTAGCTTTGCGTGAAATTTTATATCAAATAAAACATAAAAGCAAGTGACGCAGACATGGAACTACAATTACATGCACTTCCGCAGGGTCCCCGAAAGTGTTCTATTTCAAGAGTAAATACAATCAAAATTAACTGTAACAAATATTTGTATTTCTTGCTATTGAAGTTCATATGGCATGCTGTGTTGTAGCCTACACACTGAATAATTCTTCTCATGATTTATGGCATGGACACGTTTTATTGACGTCACTGCAGTACGCATTGCAACGTTAAGCGTCTCTTATGTGACGTCATTTTAGTGTCTACTGACTGACTGACAAACAACACACTACCGTATCGTGGTGCGAGTGGTTAAAACAGGTGACCCCTCCAGGTTACTTTCGGCCCTCTTTCGGGAAGGTAAGGAATTTCTTACTTTTATAACACTTAGAAATCGTATACCAAAATTTTGAAATGTGTGCTAAAATAGTTAGATAAATAAAATATTGCCAAACGAAGCGCGCATGTCCCTTCATTTATTAGTTGTACTTTGTTTGTTCACTGTTTGACGCGCAAAACTGCACAATAGGCTGTCTGTGCTTTATCCACCACGTAGAATCGAACTCGAATATTAGCGTTATTAGCTCTTAAGGTTACCGTAGAGTCACATATGTGTAATTAATTAATATGACGCACTTATTCTGATAGTCATCATATGTATATATATATATATAACATATTTCTAAAGCTTATTCTAATTGTAGATGTATTTTCAGGTAAAACCGATTTCCCGAAAACCATCAGACAGGCAAACCCGCAAATAACAGCGGATTTGCCGGATTAACAGATAAGGGAAATGTTCTCTAGTTGATGACTTGACTGAATTTTAACGTGCGTGAGAAACAACAAGACTGGACACATCATTTAATCAACAGTGAAAGCAATCCTTATTTAAACACAACATAAAAATAATGTGCGTATCTACGTAAACAAGTGGACGATCGCCTGTAGTAAGATCATTGAATAGCTTGCCTGGCTTTCGTTTCTCAAGGTCTGCTGAATTAGTCATGATGAAAACCAAGTAAAACTAAACACGGAAAGTGTGCCTGGATTTGTTTCAGTGGACGGCGTGACCTCTGTTCCCTGACAGCATTGGTCAGCTATCAGTTTTTTAGTTAACGTCGTAGTTCGGCCAGCAAATGATATATTTAAATATCATTGCGGGCAGGGTAGGTCATCTAACAAAAGAATAAAGGGTTTGAAGACGGCTTGAATGGGCAATAATTAAAACTATATTAGAAGTTTAACTTAGTAACAAATGTACAACTTTTATTTTGTACCTGACGATCGCAAAAACATTGTCGAAATAACTTACAGTAAAGTTTTCTTCATTGCCCATTCAAACTTTATTGTCTTGAAGTTGATTCCCCTATCATCAAAACAGAAGAAAGGGCTGAACAAGATAATGTTATACATTATGGACTTCGTGTTGCCTCCATGACAGTGCAGAAGCTAAATAATCAGTAATTAAGAAAACAGCATGTGACTATTGGAACACGGGTGGGTGTTCGTACATGAGTTTGACATGTATTTAACGTCGGAACAACAAGTCGACATTATTTTGATGTAGGATGGATATTTCATTGCGCATATGTAGATTGTCATTTATTTTTTCTATAATTTTCGCGCAAAGGTATACAAAGGAAATCTTCACACAGTCATTCCTAATTTTTAACTAACACACTAAACGCAGCCAAGCAATAGTACCCAGCGTCAACCCTTGGGTAACTTTTGTCTGACCGAATAATAGGATTTAGCCATCATTCTTATAGCGCACTCGTGGCCTTAAAGTACAGATAGTGTTTTTGCGGTAACAGAATGCGAACCTTGAGTGTTCGGATACATATTACAGTCACATTACCCGTTAGGCCACGCCTTATCATCACATCCAGCAAGCACATTGTCTGATATCTACATGGATTGGGTAGGACTCTTTACAACTGTAGTTTGATACGCTATGAAATCATATTAAACACTTCTAGATCACATTATATAACCCTTTTTTTGGTTAGTAAGAAGTAAATAATTCACGTTAATTTCACTTTCAAACACTCTGAGACAGTATGATAGTTGAAATGTAGTTGGTAAACTGTTATTTATAAGAATCAAATTAAGTTACGTACATTAGTAAGTTTCTTTCTGCAGTCTTTTAATAATAATAGATAATTGGAACTGCATGAAATGGTTGATGTTCCGTGAAATAATAGTTTCTCAGTTATTTAACTTACTAAAACTGAAAACATTTTAATTTTGGATATCAGTCTTAGACCATTATGATATGAAACCCATTGAATCATACAAGATAACAAAGCCAACTAAGATTTTACTGGATAAGGACTGTAATTTTCGTCGATCCAGGCTGGTCAGTGATAGAGTATAGCATGTGGGGTAGATGTGGCTTATGTTGTTTTTTTTTAGTTTGTATATGCTTTCATCTTTGCTCGTTTTCATTAACAACGTGCATTGAGGTTCTACTATATTTTGTATTCCCGTTCTTCTTCTATACTAGTGTTTAACTGACCTGATTGTGTTCTTATACGTGTTTCATTTAGTAAAGTTTTTCTTACAGTACGTTAGACAAACCCATGCTTTGTTTTTACTTTTATTTGTGTAAATATATGTTTGAAACTTAACAGAATGATAAAGAAATTGATAAAATTGTATCTTTCTTACAAACATAACCATGGTAACGTAATGTGATGTTCAAGGCTTTGGCTGTGAAGTAGCACATGAATGTGGCCCTGTGCACTGAATGTAGCATCTGTTGAGATTAGTTCAGGGCTGCTTCCAGAGACATGACTCATGACAAGAGAAAGCTCAGTGTTTTAAAGGAGTAAATGCTAATTATCCCCACAGAGGAGGAGAAAATTTAACCTGAGTGCGTGATGAGAAGAATAGTGTGTTTTATATCGATTAGTGGTTCCAAGTTGAATGCTAGGATAAAATATAAGGGACTTTTAGAGACTTTCCGTGAATTTATAATAAGCGAAACTGCTGTACATATTTATGTATATTCGTATGACGTATCTTGTATACTAAGCTTTCAACTGGATTATTTTTTGATTACTAGATGACTCACAAAGTAATGAGATAATAGGATGAAAAGATTAATAAGTATTGAAGGGTAACAATTCCAAAAATTAAAATCCACCACCCCTCCCAAATCATGTATAACCTAAAAAGTTCTAGATCTGCTAGTTGTTTTCAAATAAAGCCATTCTTTTGATTTACTGAATCTTACCCCTAATTTAACCGAAATTCGTTCGTACCTCCATCTTGCTTACTGGCATATTTTACTTATTCAAAACAAAATAAATGCGGAATAATTCAGCGTCTATTCATAAGACAAACAAAAGAATTCACAATTAAAGCTCAAGGAGAAACGATTAAAGGGGTAACGCGGTACATAAATCGACATATTACATTGTTGGTAATGAAAATGAAATTGTAAAAACAATGTTTGAATTTACGAAATTAAAATTACGATAAATATTTTAAATAAAAATTCAAAAATTTGGTTGAACTAAAAAGTAAAATAGAATGAAAAATTCGATGAGTTTCCGTGGAAAACATATTCAATTAGTGTGTTTTTTTAGTTGTTTTGTTAAGCACAAAGCTACGTAAAGGTTATCCATACTGTGCCAATCGCGGGTATCGAAATCTGAAGTTTAGTGCTATAAGCCCTCAGATTTACAGCTGAGCCCCACTTATTGAAAATAAAAAAAAACAACTACCTGATGCCCATTCAGCGCCTCAATAAAAGCAAAAGTAGCAAATGGAAAATTTGAAAGCTTTGGGTAAACCTTGATCAGGAAGTTTTATCTGTCCAGTCCTAGAGTACAAGTTAGCCTGATTGTGAAGACAGCAGATGCAGACACCTTGTGTCAATGTCCATAAACCTAAAATGAATAGGAAACATACACAGATTTGAAGTGGTAGTGTATATGGACCTAAAGATCAACTCTAACAATGGTTAGTGCACGTACAAGAATCTGTAGCGTGTTAAGTAGATTATTGTGTACACGTTTAATTTTCTCACCTTATGTTTACGTTGTTCTTATTGTTTGTTTGTTTGTAATTATGCACAAAGCTACACAATGGGCTATCTGTGCTCTGCCCACCATGGGTATCGAAACCCGGTTTCTAGCGTTGCAAGTCTGCAGACAAACCGCTGTGCTACTGGGGGCTGTTCTTATTTAATACGAGCAGGTAATTCTGTATTCATAAACTGGTATTGTGTTGTTTTTATAGTTGGAAATATGTGAAAATAAAGTTAAAACTATATGTGGTTGTATCTGTTAAAATATAATTTGTTATACTTTTAAAGATTTTTTTTCTCTATAACTTTTGAGTTGCAATTATATTTCAAAGTAAACTGTACATTGTTAATTTTGTTAATATAACTTAAGTCAAATTTTTTATTTATGCTTGTTTTCATTTCTGATTTTTTGTCGTAGTTTAGTGCGACTCTATTTTATCGCCATTTTATCTATTTTATAGGCCTTTAAACCAGTGAGACAGTTTTGTTTTTTTTTCATTTCGAGGACTAGTGAGTTTTTTGTAAACTAGGAAGATGGTATTGCGTTACAAAAATTGGCTGATTATTAGATATGAGAGAAAATTGAAACATGAAAGTCAAGTTTTTTTCTGACATGTTAAGTTTTTTGATCAAATAGGTTTGTCTTTCTTTCAGAACTTAAAAATTCAAAGCAATTTTTTCTACAATAGATCTTCGTTTCTTTTTACGTTACATAAATATTTTGTGTTTAGTGTATAGTGGTTTGATCAGAGTTTAGTTTAGAGTTAGTTTTGTTCTGCTTATTGTCAGTTATTCGTTTGCTTTCTTAGGATCAAAAGGTTGATATTTGTCAGTAAATTGTGCTTATTAAAAACTATATACTTATATACTGTGAATCTAGAACAGTGATTTTAGGATTATCACATCTTTCCGGCTGATGACAGTTCAGACTTGTCCTTCTCTTCTCTTTGGTATAATTATAGGGCCTTAATGACAAGTAAGTTGACCTCGTTGGAAAACAGAGCCTACTTTACGTGGAAAGATAGGGTAAGGCTGATCACAAGCTTGTTTTCTGATTGGCTAGACTTGAAGGTACGATGTTGCAAGACGAAGCTGAACAAGAAATGTCAGGCCTGGTTTTGATTGGTATTATATTACAATCGAGTTATGATTGATAGGAAGAGAAAGAAGATTCAGTATTGTTTTGAACATGAATTAATCAGTCAAATTGTAGTTGCTACGGGAAGTAGTAGTGACCATGCGTGTACATAAAAAAATAATCCAGATTTTAGTATTCTTTTATGTTATTACCACGTTTAAATTTTGGTTATGTGTTTGTTTCTTTATTATTTCTCATAACTTGTCCCGTCCCAATTCTAAATCCCGAACCTCAGTTTACTTTAAATATTTTAGTTATATTGCTTTTAAAATATACTTTTATTTTCACACTTTTCGCATTTTTTTTTACCCTATACAATATATACATTTTTGCGGCAAATTTGTATGTGGTTAATTTATTTTTTGTGGTAGGAAATCTAAAGTTCACATCGTTTCAAAGACCCACCTAATAATGTAAACGGTCAGACAAACATGATATGTTCAAAGAAACCATGCAAGAAAGAATCTAAACTAATCTACAAAATCAGCACAAATGGTAAGGACGACGTTTCGCTTCAGGTCTGAAGACGAAAGGTCGAAGGAAATCTATTTAATCTTCGTCCTTTCCATCTGTACTATTGTAGACTAGTCCAAGACTTTCTCCACAAGTGTCACCTTGAACTAAGCAGTTGCTGCCTATTTCATTCTTCTTTGTTGATTATTAAAACTCTGTCTCAGTCATCTATAAAATAATATGTATTTTGTTTTCATTCTGTGGGACTTGCACGTCGTAATGAGTGTGTTATTGAGATAAGAAATATTTTTGTAGTACTTGTAGGAGTTATTGTTCAGTAAAAAATTTACAAAAAGTGCCTTAAAATACCAGGAAATATTTCACCCTCTTATTTCTTTTCTTCGAAGATACAGCTTCCACAGCATCCACATAAGCTTGAGGACAGGGAGTTGTTGGTAAATAAAATATTTATAAAAGGTACTTTTAAACAATATTTCACTGGTGAGCATTATTTTTGGTGTACGGTGAAATTAAAATTGTATTCGAAGGTTTGGTTCTGTATAATGATAAAAAATATATTATAATACGGTATTTTCAAATTGAACATTTTATGCCATGGGTGGACTAAACGTCTAGACCAGATGCTTCAAGATTGAAGCATATCCATATGTCCCTAATTTGAATTGCTGACCATAGGGGGGGGGATAATTTAAAATCACCTGCCACCTACACGACTACTTTTAACCGAATTGTGGGATTTATTGTCACATTTATATCGCTTCCACAGCTGAAAATACAAAGTGTACTCAGCTACACACAGTTATCTCAAACCTTGGATCT